TGCCTTAAAGCTCTCTGAATTATGGCCAACTCCACATTTTTGCCTGTCAACAAAGTAGTAAAGTGCAGGCTTATATTTTTGATTATTTTGTCTCATGCCTTTCAGTTTCCCTAATGCTGGAAAACAATAAAGAGCAAGTGGTATAAATGGAGACTTTGCAAGCCTCTATGACTGAACATTTGCCTTTTCAAAGCTCATTAAAGCTCTTAGTGTCATTATGGATGGGGGCAGCTGATGAACATCCTCCCCCCCCCAACAGTCTGGTGCTCATCAGTTAAAATGGAGTTTCCAAAACAAGGATTTTGAAGAAATGATCTGAGTGAAGTTGAGGGACTGAGCTGAGGACACCCAAGACTTTCCAACTGGAATCAGTCAAAATGGTGCCCATGTTCTCCTCATTTATCACTATCAACTTTGCTCACATTTCTTTGTGTTCTGTAACCTTTACGAAACCTGTTTTACTGTATCGGTTGATTTCTGCAACAACTGTGAGATACCAAGTTTACAGATAAGGAAGGTAAAGCTAAGAGGCTAGGTAGCTCACGGCAAGGCCAGCCAACCAAGACATCTTTATCCTGTACCCCACACATTTTCATATTGCTTTCATACATGCTACATAATCCAAGTTGTTTCACATTCCTACCAACTATCAAATTAATACAAGCAGCAGCGTTTAATAATATTAACTGTGTACTAAACTTGATTTTAATGACTCCCATATATATTAACTGATTTAATTTTCTGAACATCCTCTGAAGACTGAACCACTCATTCACTATGTGCTCTTGAAGAAATCACTCACCATCTTTGAATCTCAAATCTTCTATGTAGGATGAGTAGATTGGGTCATAACAGAGATGACAAATAGATTACAATCAATGTTACAATTCTGGCCAACTCAATAGCTGCCTTAAAATTCGCATTAAAACACTGAGGCCACATTGAGGCTCAGTATGGGGGCAATGATAGATTTGTGATGCTTGCCAAGGGCATGGAATGGGGACATAGCAACATGCTACATACTTGTGATCTATAAATCCCATAAACTCCAAACCCTTGCTCATCACTAACAGTCCATGGCAGTGAGAACCTAATTAATTCTTAATAACTATCAAATGCAGGCACTTCAGATTTATGACATTAAGTACATTGCCCCAGTCTTCCTTCCTCTCTCTTCTAGTTTCCCAAAAGTTCTCTACTGATAGTCAGGGCATGTGAGTTTTTGCCCAGATCTTCCACTGTGAGCTGCTTCAGGTGTAACCCCCATGTGTCCTGTGGTGACCGACAGAGGCCACTGTGCATCTCTGCAACTGCAGCTGTCCACACAGCACTGTGCTGCTTCCCTGCTTGCTGCCCTACAGCTTCTCAAACAAGACCAAATAATCGTTTTTACCTTTTCTTCAGCTGTGGTTTTTAAATGCCAGCATCTTCTGAACAAAAAATAGAAAAACTACTAAGGCCGACTTTTATGGCAATGACGCAGCAGCATTTTTTGCAGTTGGTGTTTACAGATGGAGCACCTTCTAGCCTCTCTCTCCGTTACTAATCTGGGGCTGGCCCTGATGTCTGCCCCACCCCTCGCTTTCCCCCTCTATACCTGAGCCTCACCGAGAATGCTACTACATCGCTTTCCTTTTTGAGACAGTGCAGTATCTTCAACGAAACAAATTAGATGTGCTTTTGCATCTTGACTTCACTACTTAGTGAGGAATCAGGCCTCATTAACATCTCTGAACCTCTGCTTCTTCATCTGTAAAATGAGGATCATCAGAGGCCCTTGTTCAAAAGAAATGTCTGTATAAAATAGAAGGCAATGGCTGTGTAAGCCCTTTATCACCCATAAAGTGCCGTATGGATATGAATTATCTCCTTCACTGCTGTGAATTTACCCTCCCCACCCTTAGTCTTCTTCTCATTACCCACAGGGCTTTCCGTTCTTGAACATGAAAGTGAAAATTGATTTAAGAAGCTGAGTTCACAGCTATTATGCAATAGCAGCTACCATAGCTTCCCTCAGGCCCCTGACATGTTACTCATTATCTCAGGGTCTGTAGAATTGGGATGAGCCTAGACCTAAGGCTGTTGCTGCTATCTGCTGGTCTGACCGCACTGGAAAAAAAAAAAACTAGTGCCTCTTGTAAGTTAAAAAGGAAATCAGGGCCCTCCCTAGTGGTGCAGCGGATTAAAGCACAGCACTAAGAAGCTTGAGCCACTTCTGTATGAATTCGATCCCTGCCTGCCCTGGAGGAGATCCACATTGCACGGCAGACCCCTCTTGACCAGCCCGCTGCTCCCCTCAGCAGTGTACTTTGTCGATCTGCTACCAACTCTGTCTCTGGTGGGTCCTCTCACCCTCCACATCTCTGACCTGTACCCCAGTTCTGTATGAACAAATAAATAAATCTTTAAAAAAAAAAAAAAGGAAACCAAAGAATGATGGATAAACCTCAGAATTCCATCAAAGCTAATCAAAACTGTTCCTTAGTTTTCTAAATATAAACATCCTGACATCAAATACCTGTAGAAGGTTTGCCTGTGGGCCACCCCATCAGAATAACTTGCAAAGCCATTGGAAAGAGATCTCTGCTTCCGGTAGCATGTTGTAGTTCTCTAGGGAAAACTGCATTTTCCAAATGAAGGCATAGAGACAGAAACACAAAACTGGACTTACCTGTGACCTCACCAATCATCCTGTTTCCCACCATTAAAGTTAGAATGTAGATCTGTTGATTCTTTTTTTATGTCAAGCATGGTGTCACTAACTGAAATCCAGAGCTTGCCTTCCTGGCTCTCCAGTCCAAAGAAGAGGTTTGAGCATCACTTCAGCAGGCATAGGCCCACATCATAGTATGAATCTGCCTTGCTACTAACCCTAAGCTATATTTTCCCCCAAATAGCTTTTACGCTTAGTTTCTAAACACCTATGACCTTTCAGGTTTTAGAAAACTGTGGCTTATCCATCACTAGAAGTCCAATGTGCTATGCATTGCGCCCCTGGAAAGCCTCTAAATAAAGGCAGAAAATACAAGGATCTGCTCATTTTTGCTTGTTTTGGTCTGAGCTTATAAAATGGCTTTTCCATTCATATTAATCTAATTTCAAAATGTATTTATGTGTAATTAATAAATAGCACTTTTAAGTGGTATGGGCAAATTCTCCTCTACATTAAGGAAAAAACAAAGAAACTGGCTTAGCAATTGATCACATTTTTTTGTTTGTTTTATGGAGTGGGGAGAAAGAGAGGAGTAGATCCAAAGCTTCAGTAATTTATGAAAAGAGAATCATTTTCTCCTGTATTAAAAGTGTAACTATTAGGCCCTCCCTGGTGGTACAACAGGTTAAAGCACAGCACTGTGCAAGCTAGTCACAGCCACTTCAGCATGAGTTCAATCCCCGCCCAGGGAGGTGACCCACATGGCACAGCAGACCTCTCCTGTCGCACCCACTGCTCCCCTCAGCAGTGTACTTTGCCAATCGGCCTGTTCTGCTCCCCACTCTGTCTCTGGTGAATCCCTCACCATCCCTGCATCTCTGGCTTATACCCCAGTTCTGTATGCATAAATAAATACATTTTAAAAAAATGTATCACTATCACTTCTCATCTCCCAAACCCCTTTCCAGATGGAGGAAAATCTCCTGAACATTTTGGGGCAGCCATGAGCAGAGGCCATTTGGAAGCATCTGGGCCCTTTCTCCTGTGCCTTTAATAGCAGCTTGTAGGTAGCAACTTGGCCTAGAAGTGCCATCTAGCAAGTAAGTTGCTCAAGGGTGAGGCCATTAGGAGGCCCAATTAGCATTTGCAAAACTAAGACAGCCCCACCCCACCTACCCAATCTCCAGGGGAGACCGTTGCACTTCCCAACTTTATTCATGTATTGTTTAATTTCCCCAAATCAGTTGTCATGAAAATTACCTGTAATATTAACTCCTATGGAAGTAACTCACCCTTCTTTATTCTATGTTCTTGAAGGAGGAAGGCCCAGATTATGTATGTGTTTCAGAGCTGATGAGGAGACAAAGCAATGAGATTCATCACACTTTGGTTTCCGGAAAAAATATCTCATATTACAATGCTGTAGAGTAGAGAACAAACAGAAAGTGATTTTCAACTGTTCTAAACTATTTCCCCCACCAAAGGATAGTCAGCCTTACGTTTAATGCAAATAAGAATGGACCCTTCTGGGTCTTCAGGTACATCAGGTTAATCTTACAACTGGACACATTCATCAAATAGATAAGACAGATGCCTGAAAAAAAAATGCCTAAGAACAATTTACTTTTCCTGTTTTTATGTTGGCTTGAATCAGAAGGCTTGCAGAAAGTGCCACTGAGTGGCCTTTCACTACATGTTTAACATATGTCCTTTCTTAGTTTCCTCCCCTCCCCCAATTTTCAAGGCTAGATTTAGCAGGAATTAAAATCAGTGATTTAGAGCCTACTCACTTTTTTTATACCTCTGGATTGATTCAGCATTTTCCTGAGGAATTAGCATTAGGGTAAAATCCTCTGGGTCCTATAGTATGTACTGGTGAAGTTTCTGTACCATAAATAAAACAAGTAGACACTTTGAAGCAGTGTGCTTCTTTGAGAAATAAAAGCTGAAATAAAAGGTCCAGAAATCCTGCCAAAGTAACAGCAAACTATTGGATGCACCTCTCCTTGAACTAAATGATTTCATTTTAAGTAATAGTGCTCAGAGCCGAGGTCACGATGCCCTGGTTCTGTGTGAGAGACAGAAGGCAGCCTCGAGGGTTACTGCCCTGCTCAGCAGCAGATCATCCACCACAGTCGTTACTTAGAGTTATGACTGCCATGTCCTGACACTACAATAATATTGAGGAGTTTTATGAGGATGAAGAGACGTGGGGACTAGTGCAAGGGAAAAGAGCAAGGGAAATTAACCCAGAATTGTTTGTTTGCTGGGTTTCAGAGCAGGGCTTGTAGCTGTTGTGTATGACTGGCTGTTAGTCCACTGTAATTCTCCTTTCTTCTCTTCTCAGGGGGTCAAGAAGACTTCATTCTTTCTTATGAGCCTGTCACCAGGCAGGAAAGTAAGTTGCCAAGCATAATCTGCCCTGTTCACAATTTCCAGGTCATTGCAGGTGACACCATTACACAAGGAAGCAATGAAAGGGCGACTCTGTCATCCTGTAACTTCCCTACCAGGCATGGCCAGTGACAGTCCCCAAGGAAAGGTACTCAGTAAGGCAAACACATCCGAGTCGCCTAAAGGATCCCACATAAGGACAAATGGGTAAAATCTTCTGAGAGACTAAAGGCCACTGAGTACTTTCTAGCAGACCCATGCTAAGAAGATGTACACCACCCAGGAGCTGTTTCCATTTCCAGAAGCATCGATGTGGAGGCTAATGGTTATTGGGATATTGCTGAAAATACTTAAGCATCAGATAAAGAGTTGTACCCAATGAACTCTAAGTTCCTTCTAACCCCAAGATACAAAAAAAAAAATTGGGAAAATCCTAGCAGAGTATGGAGAATATTTGGAGCTGAGGGCAAGAAATTATATAAATAGTACCATTAACAATTCATTTTTAAAGTCATTGTCTAAACAATGGCCAAATAGCTGCTTTGGAATCTTTTTTTCTCCCACTCAATTAACTAAATTCAGTAGTTGTTTTGACGTTGTGTGGGCATAACCCAAGAGTAAGCAAAACTCCCCTCCAAATGTTTCTTTTTGTTGACAGACACTAGTTGTTTTTCTGGTAGTAAATTCCAGAAAGTAGGCACAGTCAACACACTGGTATTGAATATCAGTTCCCCTGTGCTGTGCTGTGTGGGCAATATTCCAGAAAGTAATGGCCTCAGCAGTTCTGCCTATTTTGCCATTTCACCTACAGAATCATCCTTTTAGAAAAGTTGTTCAGTTATTTCCAAGTCTTTCCCTCATCTGCATCTTCCTTTCCCTCCTCAGTAACCTACACCCGACCAGTGATTATCCTAGGCCCCATGAAGGATCGCATCAATGATGACTTGATATCTGAATTTCCTGACAAATTTGGTTCATGTGTGCCTCGTAAGTATCTGTTCTTTTTTTCCCTAGAACATAAAAGGGGTAGGGGACTAACTCCTTTTGAGATGATAGGACGTTTTCTGTTCCTCCAAACATTTAGCTATTGATTCAGAGACTGTCGGCAGCTTGTTGTCTGAGCATCATATTTAATTCACACTGCCCAACACTTTTTCTGTGTGTTGTCATTTATTGTTCTCTGTCCAGTGACTATAATAATCTTCAACTGATTATGGTCCCCTCAAAGGCAGGAAGAATTCTTTCTTTGTAACTCCCCTAAACATTTCAAATAGCATAGGATTATGGCAAGCATGATTATCATCTTATAGATGGACTGAATTGCCACTGAAGCATCCTTTCTCATAGAGTGGGAGAGACCTAAAACAAAGCTATATATTAAAATTATTTCAAAATGGCTTAGCCATGCTTTAATGCCAAAACAAAATAACCCTTCCCTTGTGTTCTAACAGGTATAGGAAGATGATGGCTAGAAGATGCATAAAGCTTTAATTTATCTCCAGATAAATTTCAGATTGAATCTGTTTTCTTGTCATTATGGACAATCACCAGGTCTCCCACTCCCTCTGAGAGTCACCCTATACGATGCTATCTCCTCTGTCTCCCCAAGCCCTGCCAGTCTTTCCCCCACTCACCCACTTCCGCCTCTACTCCTGCAAGGTCACATAAAATGCATAGCAGTCTTCTGAGTGTAGAGAAAGGTCCTCCAGGAAATTTTAAGTCTGTAGATGACACACTCTTAAATCTGATCCCCAAAGTATTTCTTTCTCACTCTACATTTTTTGAGCTTTATGCTTTGCGCTATCTTATATATCAGTGTTGCATGTCATGTGGGAAAAAAAAAAAGAACAGCAGGAATTACAGAACATAAGCCAGAGGAACCAAGGGTGATTGCCTCGCTCCCAGGCAGCTATCCCCAGCAGAGGCTCTGGGAAGATATCCTGCCTTAGCACACATCCTGACAGGGCTGCTTGTGGAAAGTCCAGTTGACCTCAGTCCATTCATTGCAGCTTCCAGTTTTCTCTGCACTTTTAAAAGAAAAAAAAACAGACAGTTCTAATGTGTTCCACTTTCCCTTTCACCTTGCACACTTTCCTCTTTCTCTTTTTTAAAATTTATACCACTAATTAATGATAAGCAATAAAGTTAAAATAAAACATACATAATTCCACACAATACCCAAAGATGACATCACTTAATATATTCATAGAAGCCACTAGGCAGCTTTTTAGCCTTACCCTGGAGCCCTCTCCTCATGGACCAAATGGAAACAATATTTTCCTTAATTTCTATCTATTCTTTCTTTCTATGCATGCATGCAGTCCTGTGATTGAATGCATAGATATGTGTTTTTCGTTAGCAATTAAAATTATATATAAATATTTAAAATGATGATTAGCCATTCTTCATTTAAATATTTTCATTTTTCTCTTTTTAATATGAATTATAATTAAAATACAACTGTAATTTGTTATAATTATTGTTTAAAAAATTATAAGTTAATATCATGAACATCTTTAAGGAAAAATTTTTACCTAAACTTTTGCTCTTTTATTAAAATCTGTTTAATAGATTTCTTATTACAGTAACATTAGAATTTCCTCCACCAGGTATCACCACCCTAGTGCACCCAAAACTGAATCTCCCATAATCCCCCACAATGGTCTATTGTTTTCCCTTCCCTCTCCTACTCCTTCTCATCTCTGAATGTGTTTAGTTCTCTAGTCAGCTTTCAAGGTTTAGTTTTAATGCTTGCCTTTGTCTGACCCATGTATGGTTTCTCTGTATTCCATATGTTGCTGACAATACCTGGTATTTATCTTTCTCCTTCTGATTTCACTTCGCATTATCCTTTCAAACTCCACCCTTGTTGCCACAACTGACATGAGTTTATCATTTCTGATCATTGAGTAGTATTCTATCATGTATAAATACTACATCTTCTTGATCCACTTATCTATTTGGAGGTACTTAGGCTGCTTCCATGATTTGGCTATTGTGAGTAGTGCTAAAATAAACATAAGCATAAAAGTTTCCTTTGGAATTAGTGCTTTTGAATTTTTCAGGTAGATACCTAGAAGTGGTAGTATTGGGTCATAGGGCAGATCCATTATTAAACTTCTGAGACATGCTCATACTGCTTTTCAGTGAAGACTGGTCCATTCTACATTCCCACCAAAAGTGAAGAAGGGTTCTCTTTCCTCCACATCCTTACTAGCACTTGTATATGGTCTTTTCAATATGGGCCATTCTCACAGGTGTATAGTATTCTCATTGTGGTCTTGATCTTCATTTCCCTGATTATAAATGATGATGAGTGCTTTTTCATGCTCCTATTGACCATCTGTATGTCTTCTTTGGAAAAGTCCCTATTTAGTTCTTCTACTCATCTTTTGTTGAGATATTTATTATCTTTTGGTTGAGTTGTATGAGTTCTTTGTATATCTCTATATCAGTCCCTTGTCAGATGTCTGATGTGCAGATATTTCTTGCATTCTGTTGAGTGTCTTTTATTTATAGTTATGGTTTACTTTGCTGTGCAGAAGCTTTTGAGTTAGATGTAGTTCCAGGTGATTATGTCCTCTTTTGTTTTTGTTGTTGTTGCTGGAAACAATCCCTAAAGACTTTACCAAAGCTTATGTCTTGAAGCATGTTTGCCTTTTACTTTGTTTTTGTTGATGTAGTGAAGTTGATTGATCCTTGGATGTGAAATCACCCTTGTGTCCATGGTATAAATCCTACTTGGTCTGGTGCATGATCATTTAATGCATTGTTAGATTCAGTTTGCTAAGAGATGGAAGGTCTTTGCATCTGTGCAAATTAGGGAAATTGGTCTGTCATTTTTTTTGTATTGTATTTGTTGGGTTTTAGTATTAAAGTTATGTTGGCTTCATTAAATGTGTTTGGAAGTGTTCCTTCTATTTCAATTTTTGGAGGAGTTTGAGCAGGTGAGGCATTAGTTCAGATTTGAAGGATTGGTAGAATTCATTTCTGAAGCTATCTGGTCCTTGAATTTTGTTTTTCAGGATGGAAGAGTTTTGATTACTCTTTTGATTTTCTTCAAAGAACCAGCTTTTGGTTCTGCTGTTCTTATGTACTGTATTTTTTCCTTTCATTTAGATCTGCTTTGATTTTTATTATTTCTTTTCTTTTATTGACTTCTGGATTTGTTTGTCCCTCTTTTCCTAATTTCTTCAGATGAGACAGCTCTTTCTTATTTCTTAATGTGGGCTGGTGTTAAACTTTGGGCAGCTGTGTCCTCATTATCATTTGTCCTGAGGTATTTTTTTTCTTTGACTTATTCTTTAACTCACTAGTCTTTCAATTATTTGCTATTCAGTATCCATGTATTAAGGTACTTTCCTACTTTCTTTTGATAGTTGATTTTTAGTTGATACCTTTATAATATAAGAAGAAGCTATATGGGTATGACTTGAAACTTTGTGAAAATATTGATATTTGTTTTGTGACCAAAATGTGGTCAGTTTTGGAGACTGTCCCATGTATACTTGAGAAAAATGTAAATTCTGCTTGGGGGGGGGGGAGGGTGGTTCCATCCATACCCTGTAAGATCTATGTGGTCTAATTATCACATTAAGGTTATTTTATCCCTGTTTGTTTTCTGTCATTGGTGAGAGTATTATTTCCACAAAAGTATAATTTCCAATGTCTGCAAAGTTGACAGTAGTTACCTAATGTATTTTGTGTGTATACATTCATTTGGTGAGCATACACTGATGAGTGTTACATCTCCCTGCTGTATCATCCCCTCAATCATGGTGGAGTGTCTCTTGCTACCTTTTTTACTGGAAATCCGTTTTGTCTGATATAAGTATAGCTGTCCCTGCCTTCTTTTGGGTCCCATTTACTTTTAAAATTGTTTTCCACTACCCTTTTGAGCCTGAGTTTGCCTTTGGAGTTTAGACCTGTATCCTGAAGGCAACAAAACATTGAATTCTGTCTCCTATTCTAACCATATAATCTGTGTCATTTAATTGGTGAAATCAGAATTGTACATTTAGAGTGATTATTGATGTGTGAAAGTCTGTTGTTGCCATTTTAGGCTTAATTTTGTGATTCAGCCTATTTTCTGTTCAATTATTTATGTATGTTCCTCTTTTTAGTTTAGATGTGTAAATGCCTTTCAGTATTTCTTGGAGGAATGGTCTAGTATTTGCAAATTCCTTGAATTTCTCTATGTTTGAAAGGCCTTTTATTTCTCCCTCATATCTGGAGAGACTTGCAGGAGAGTATGTTCTTGCCTGGCAGTTTTTAAGTATTTTGAAAATGTCATACTATTCTCTCCTTGCCAATAGTACTCCAATAAGTCTGATGTGAACCTTATCAGGGTACTTGTAAAAGTTATCTACTTTTTTCCCCTTGATAGTTTCAGTATTCTTTCTTTGTCTTGTGCTGTTGGAAGTTTCACTACTACATATCTTGATGTGAGCCTCATTTTATTTAGGTAACCTGAGGTTCTTTTTGCTTCCTGGATTTGTATATTTACTTTCTCTATATTTGAGAAGTTTTCCCCCATTATTTCTTTAAATGCATTTTCTGTTCCTCTCTCTCACTCCCTCTGCTGGTATTCCCATTATTCTTTTGTTGTCCTTCCTCATGGATCTAACTGCTACTCAGATTGTTTCTTCTTTTTTTTTTTTTAGTTTTGTTTCTTCCTTTTCTACCTGTTTTCTCAGTATATTCACCCTTCAAATACTCTGACTCATTTTTCCATTTGATTTATTCTACTCCCATAATTTTCATTGATTTTATTTCTACAGGCACTGTTTTTTTTTTTTTCCTGAATTTTCTTGGCCTTTATTTCTCTGACTTTCTTTATCAATACAATGTTAAACTCTATAGCTGATATTAAGACCATATTTTCCCCTTATCTTTGATATTGGGTTCTAGTGATTTGTTCTTGTTGTGTTATTCCCCTAGAGATTCATTAGGCACTGTGTTGGGATTTTTCTCCTCCCCATTATTTACTTAGGTCCCCAGCTGCTATAGCATGAGCTTATAAAGGTGTAGCTTTTCCACTCTCACTGGTCAGGGGTTTCACTTTTCTGGATGGGCACTGGTGGTGTCCCACAGAACCCACAAGACCTGTGACTCATGTCAGTTTTTAAAATAGATTCCTAAGTTAAAGAATATATGATCAAATGATTGGAAATATTTTAACATTTTTAGCATATTGATTTTTTATTCTATCTCTTCTCAGCCAAAAAGTTTGGCACCCTCTAAACATGGTTTCATAACTTTTAATCCCACATTTTGTATGGTTAAAGAACATATTATATCCTTGAAAATCCCTAAATATATTGTTTGTGCGTTTTTCTCTTAGTTATATATTTCTTGCTCCTTTGTTTAATTATCTTTTATTTTAAGCTGCTGATTGTGATGCTACACTATTGAGAGACTAAGGTTATATTTCTTGGTAGAATATTAAGTTTTCATCTGGTCAATAATAATTTCTTGATAGGTCAGCTTCTTCCAGTTATGACTTAGTAAAATTGGGTCCACAGGAAATCTAAAGCAACCTTCTAAAATGTAACATTAATGGGGTTTCAACCAAATACCCAATTCTGGCTGAACTCTAGAATCCCTTTCAGTCATGCATCACTTAACTCTGCTTCAGTCATTGACAGTCGACCAATATAATGGGATCCCAACAGCTAGCATGTCTCTGGTGTGTCATGGGCTAGCCCATCTAGGCTTTTATAACTACACCCTGTAGTGTTGACACAATGGTGGAATCACCTCATGATACATTTATCAGAAAATATCCCCATGTATAAGCAACACATGACCTTATTATGTGCCCTCTATACTCAGGATGGATGCAAAGTTTCCCTCAGGCATTTCTTCCCTAAAGCATCACACCCCTGCAGTTCCTAATGTCTGGTGCCTGAAAATAGCTATTTTCTGTATTTTGTCCTATTCTGTAGTTGTTTTCTGTGGAAAACTAAGATGGGTGTCTATTATTATGTCATAGTCCTTAAAATAATATATTTTCATTTATTTATATAGAAGGCATGGTGAAAAATAGGTGTAAAGGAAATTTATGGATATAGAAGTACCTTAATTTCACTATTTTTTTTTTGTGTGTGTGTGTGTGTGTGTTACAAAGATACTACAAGGCCAAAGCGTGACTATGAAGTGGATGGCAGAGACTATCACTTTGTCATTTCCAGAGAACAAATGGAGAAAGATATCCAAGAGCACAAGTTTATAGAAGCTGGCCAGTACAATGACAACTTGTATGGAACCAGCGTGCAATCTGTGAGATTTGTAGCAGAAAGGGTATGTTCACCAATCATGTTATACCTTTCTTGAACAGAGCTTCCTGTTGGCAAAGTGTGTTTTTCACTTATTATTCCCTCTTGGTTGCAGTTGCAAATTTTTATTAAATATCCCATTTAAGATATCTAAATAGAGAATTACTTTAGAACAAGGTCATTCATCTTTGTTCTGATCTCAATAGCGTAGGCTGGCTGCCATGGTGGAAGCTATAAACCTAATAGGCAATTAGCAGTTTCAAGTTTATGGAGACTGACTTTGCCCTTGACTCACTTATCTTTGACCCCAATAAATAACATTGATCGTCTTCTTTTGCTTTTTTTGTTATGTTTACTGAGTTTATGTAAAAACAAACACAAACAAAAAAAAACATTTAATTAGTAAGATACCCTTGTTACTCTTGGTTATTTAGAATCTCAGTTGTTTTTGTTTCTGTTAGCATTAGTTCAGTTTATATCAGTGAAAACTTGAGATATTCATGGTAGAGGGCTAGAGAGATGGAAGAGTGACCTAACCTATTTCTGGCAGAAATTCCAAATTAGAGGTATAGAAGATATGCTTTCCATCAAGGACATGGGAAAGAAGTGAATGTATAAGACAGTATAATATAAGAAGGCATTTCAGTGTGTCATTAAGATCTGCTATAGAGAGGTCTTGTTAATACACAGGATCAATTTCATAGGAGAAAAGCAAGAACTGAGCCCACCCTATTCTGTTATGTAATATTTGTTGGGTTGGTTTCATTTACTCGGCCTCTATCCCACTTTTAATATGCTGATAAAAAAAATAAACAAGAACTTCCATATCTATCTGAAAATACATTATGAATTCACACCTATTTTCCACCACTCAAAAGTTATATTCTATTGGGTATATCCTACTGTTTCTAATTAGTTTCCTGGATGATTCCATCTATTCTTGTTAAGCATATAGATTCAGCTTTTGTTAATTTGAAAATGTTCTGGCCAAACAGCATTTAGATATATTTTTATATAGTTGCTGCTTTTCAAGGATAAGAGACAGAATTTATTATTTAGATGATAAGGTTTAAACCATCCTACTATAGTTCTCCAATAAGAACTCAAATATTCACTGGACTTTGTTCATTTTCATGTGAATATTACAAATGAATTTTCCCCCTACTATTGACTTAGGACCTTTCTTTTTTGCTTTTTGTTGTTGTTGTTGTTCTTGTGAAAAGTTTTCTAGCCTCAGCCTAATTAATGAGACAATTTCTCTCTGGGAGGTAGAATAAGATGTGCAGCAAATCTATCTACCTTTCAAAAATTCTTTATAAAGCAACTCCTTACTCTCTACACTCACGGTAGTGAAAGCCAAGTTAAATGGCATGTTTTATAATGTAATGGGGAGTTTTTTCTTTGTTAACAAACAAGAAATTTACTTATTCCATGTAAGCCTCTCTCAACTTTAAAGATAAAATATTTAAGGTAGCTTTTCTGCACTCAGCAAGACTGAATGTAGAAGGTAGAATCCTCATAATCCTTCAGCAAAGATTTCTGTGATTATTCTAAACTCATTCTTCCAAATCTAACATTGGGGAGCTGAGACAATGAGGTGTCTCTTCCAACCAACACTCCTTTCTGTTCTCTAGACTTGGGTTTGAATCATCTAGCACTGAGACTTTAGAGAAGTTAGTAATATTTCTTCCTTTCTATAGAACACAGTTGATACCCACCTCATACATTTGGGGATTTCTTCCAACAGTTGTCATCAGAAATGGTTTATGAGCTTTCTCAGAAGAACTCAGTCACATTACATATTTGCCAAGTATCAGCTATTTATTTAAGACAATAAAGTTAGCTCGGATTGTGTAATATGTCTCTCCTAATGGCAGCAGACAGTATGGAGATAGTACATGTGAGTTATTGCAAGTAATCATGGATGATCCTGTATGTCCACTTTCATTTATGCTCTACCGTGATTCTTTTTCCACTTGTAGAGGTCCAATAACCCTTACCTCCCTCTAAAACATATTTACATTATTCTTTTTTTTTTTTTTGATGAATTATGGTCATTCTTTCTGGATTAATTTCATGTTTTTCTTCTTCTCTACCAGGGCAAACACTGTATACTTGATGTATCAGGAAATGCTATCAAGCGGTTACAAGTTGCCCAGCTCTATCCCATTGCCATCTTCATTAAGCCCAAGTCCCTGGAACCTCTGATGTAAGTGGAGAACAAGGGAGGCCTCATCTAGTCCCCGTTCCATATAACACAGCAAAATGTTAACAACTTTTTTCATAAATATTTATAAATGGAAAAATGCCATTGTTCATTTCTACAAGTTCTCTTTTTAATAATTTTCAAACCACTAGAGAGATGTCAGTAATTTCTTTAAATGTCTTCACTAATATTTTTTGTTTTTTATTTTCTTATTACAAGTTTGTGTGTGTGATTCTGTTGTTTTGAAGGTTGGCTTTTTTGGTTTGGAATCAGTTATCTCTGAGTTATCTCTCTCTTCTCAGATCAGTTCCATAAGAAAGTCTTTTAAATGTTTGAGTTTTTAATAGAAGGACCTGACAACACGTCAGACTCTTTCTGTTTGCATTCTACTGTGTTCTATCATAGAATTTTTATGCTCCTTATTTAAAGTATTATGTCTATAGACCATTATCCCTAACAGGGAGTGTTCCTAGTGACATAGCCTAAATCATCTATAACCCAAACTAGTAGCTTCAAACCTGTGCACTTTTTGAGCAAAGGAGAAATACATAACATAGATTTTTTTGGTTGTTGTTTTTATTTTTCGGAGGACTTGTGAAATCTGTTCCTTCGCATACCAATAAAAGAGTATATGTTCATAATTTGACTATAAATTAACAATATTCTGTGGTGATTTGAAATAAATTGTTGGTATTGCTTTATGGACCACACCCAAGCAGAATGAAGCTATAGTAGCCATAAAGGTAGCAAAGAGCCCAAGAGCAGGATTTGAAAATTGGTGAAGCTTAGTTCTTCACTTTACTTTGTTTAATTGCTTTGTTTTGATCAACACTGAGCACGTTTCCTGACCTCCGTAAGATTTTGTTTCTCACTTCCAAACTAGCCACATTAATAACATCCCATAAGGCAATGTGATAGAGCTGGAAGGGATCATGCTCAGTGAAATAAGTCAGAAAAAGAAAAATATCAGACGATTTCACTTATAGGAGGAATATAGGGGAACCAAATAAGGGACCACGGGGGTGGGGGTAATAATAATAACAATGAAAAACATATCAAAAACAGCAATGAAAAGACAAGTACAAATCAGAGACATTCTGCAGGGGAGGGGGCGGAAAAGGGACCAGGGCAAGGGTGGGAAGAACACAAGAGACTCTGGTGATGGTGCACAGGTGAAATGGTAGTGGGAATCTATGGGGTCTACACCTGAAAAAAAGAAAACAAACACTGTAAAAAATTAATTAATTAATTTTTAAAAAGTTAAATTAGATCATGAATGTAGAGTTTCTCATACATATAGTATTTACTCAGGAGATAGTAACTATTTTAACTGCCGAAGATTTAAGTTACCTTACCACAAAAGGAGTAAAATTATGTTATCATTATATAATATTGGATTTTTTGAAAAGTTGTGACA